GTGCGAATAACCGGGAGTGCACTTCTCGGGCAGCAAACCCCCTAGTTGTTTCCGGGAGAAGGGGCAACTGCCAGCTCTTGTTAGCAGAACGTCGTTGAGGTACCCAGAATTTCCCGTTACCTACGCTATATATCATACCGGATACATCTGCCATCCAGCCACCAGCCTATTCATATCTTTGTGCCATCTGCAATATAGCAGTTTAGCCAACTGGAGAGAAGAAAAGGAAACAGAAGAAAAGAATGGTGTTGGAGAAACGGCATGAGGAAGTGATTGGAGAAATAATAGAACAGACTTATTAAATCCGTGGGCCTCAAAGAGAGAATGGAGAGCAGATGAGAAGCCATCTTGCCTGTTTTCTTGTTCTTGTTTCCATCCTCACAGCTGTCCCCCAGAGTGGTGTTCTTATACTCCTGAGCAAGTCTCTATATACAGTACAATGGAATAGGACCCAGCATCTCATACTAGTTGTGTCTCCATCACATTGAAGTCATACTTCCAACAAATAAAGGGAAGAAATTTCGAGTGACACACCATGATGAAAGCAGTGCCGGACCTTTGGAGCCGTTAAGCTCAAGATCTGATGAGTACATATCCTCCCACCGGCCCTACATAATTATGGCATATTCTAATACCACCCAAGCACGGCTAGAATGGTTGTATCAGCACGGTTGTCACAGACAGAGTAGATATCCTCCCTCACACAAGTCCAGTGCATAGATATCGCCAACCACTAGCAAACGTCCACCACAAGCAAGAAATGGTGACATTAAACGAGAAAAAACACACCGGAACAAACCAACAAGAAAGTCTTCTACAGAACCACGTTCCGGTATGACCCTACTACCGACCACCAGCAACTAATTAGTGAAAAAAAAATTTGGCGAATCAGAACTCGTCGCAGTTCAAACCCCCGAGTTGAACACAATTAATTCATTCCCAATAGCCCAGCCGAGGGATACCATCGTAAATACAAGCATCGGCAGTGCATATCTCTCGATCAATCAACCACACATATTCTTTTCACCCTCAAACAGGATTCTCTACGCTAGCTATCGTAGGTAGCGGTAGTTGACTGATCATACCAGCCCCATGTGGCCCCGTGCCACTCCGAGACAATAACTTGCACTTCAGCACCTCCCAACTGCATCTCAAGGACCGACCTTACACCTGGCTGTGAGTTTTCTCAATTCGCGAGCGCAGGGCAAGGAAAAAACTCAAGTCTACTGAACTTGACCCGATACTTCATTCTCGCCCCGCCGCCTATCGTGTCAATTTGCGCGATATCACAACCGCATACTTGGAAAGAAGAAAAGAAAAAGAAAAAGAAAAAAAGAAAAAAACACGACCAGCACCACCGGTACCCGACCAATCAATCAATAGCCCGAATACCGGTATCCCCACCACCACCCAACAAACAGCAAATCAACACAAGTACAGCCACGGGATGGGCATTGTGGGAACAAACAAGGAAAACTCCGTCCCTAAGTACCTGGAGAGGGAAAAAAAACAAAAAAAACGCGTAAGTACCCGAGTACAGTACTCGTACGCCGACGTACGGTCCTGCACGTCCAACAACCTCCACCATTTCTCTGAGGGAATAACACGGCCGGCCGTTGCACTCGTTGCCGTTGCCCTACCCTGACCCTGACGGGGAAAAAAAAAATACTGTATCATACAAGAACTATTTTTATCCATGCGCGGCTATTGTATCATATACAGTAGTTCTCATAGCAAGAAACCCACAGCGTCCTTTGGGAACGATCGGAAAATGAGACACGGGATCCTAGACTTTTTATTGGAGCGTTCGGTGGCTGGAACCAATCGCTCTCCACGTTGCTAACCCTTGTTCTCCGATTCCATTTCTTTTCTTTTCTTTTCTTCGACTCGAGTACTTGTGCCGTCGGCCGTGTGATACCGTATCATGAGTACCTGTACTCGTAACCACTTGTCGGTAGCGTGATTCACCAGCCAACCGTTCGGGAACTAAACGGATTAACTGCTGGTTGGCCAATCGGTAAACTACCGGTACAAGCACCAAGCTGGAGGGAAAAGAAAAAAAAGAAAGAAAAGGAAAATCCAAAATCCAAAATCGCGGCAGAATTAACTTGCCTTTCTGGAGGAGGTTAGTGGGCCGTGCAAGGTGCTCCCATGGTACTTATGGTACTTGTTCCAGGAGGGCTGTAAGATACGGTAAGTTTCGCCGATATAATCGGAGCTGACATAGTAAACCAGAACTTCCAATGACGGTGTTGCCCGTATTGCAGCGGACGGTGCAAGTCACAGCGGTGCCGTGGACGGCAGAATCGAGGCGGGGACCATACAGCCAATACGGGGACTCATCATTTACGATACAAGAACACGGTATCATACCGCACAGTGAAAAGCACACCTCGGAGTCCAATCACATCAAACCTACAGCGCAAATTCGATTTTCTTGGCCATCAGAATCTACATGCCATGTCACAATCCCACAGTTGGATTCCACATCTCCATCCCTCCCTCCCTCCTCAGACCGCAGCGACACAGAAGCTATTCTCCTGGAATGCACATTACCACACCGGTACTCGAGTACGGTAGGCGAAAGCCCACCTTACCGTGCCCGTATTGTGCCGCATCCCATACCCAACCTTGGCTAAAGCCCGCCGCCGCCAACTTGCGGGGCGGGGACGGGAACATGCCTGCTCGCTCACTCACTCGACGACGGTGGGCCCGAGCAGGTACAGGGGGGGCTTAACGGAGCCAGCGTAACAGAACACGTACACTGCTCGAGTGCTCGAGTACACACGCCGGTCTAATGGACCGGGGAGTTTTTCACTGGGGTAGGCGTGGGAGCGAGATTAGGCCATGATCCCTGGGGATTGCAAAAAGCGTTAGTACGGTACAAGCACTGAGGATGGAATAGAGTTTTGTGCCCGGCGATGGGTAATTGGGAGGACTTTACTGTACCGGTATGATGCTAGCACTTTTTCGATAAACATGGTATGGTGCGGTGAGACTACAGTAAGAATTTGGCTTTCACTACAAGTACTGAACTTCTCACGGTCACTAGTGCCTGAATAGTAGAGCACCCCATAATTCCACAACCCCGAGACCAAACAATCACCCCAACCCAACGATGCAGCGACCATTCGCCAACTCCAATCCGATACGTTTCCTTTCCCTCTCCGCCTCGCAAGAAGTGTTTCCCCATTCGTTCACCACCCACGCCAATCAACAAATATTTATATTAGTCTACCGTCCCCACCCCCCTCGCATCAGCATGCAACCCCCCCCCACACGCACACATGCATACATTTCCACCCATCTATTCCAAGAAACCTCGCCCGACCCAGATATGCACCATCATTTGGAATATTATTAGCGCGATCAGCGATTCCCCGGCGCAGGCTGTGGCCTAGTACAATACAATACAGTGCAGTACAGTACAAAGTGCACTGACCAACCCACACCACCCTCTAGCTAGCTAATAAAATTTCTTTCTCAATTGTTAAGAATAAGTCAATGAGTTCAAGGCGTAGGAATTGCAAAGGGTAAAAAAAAAGAGAAGAAGAAAAATCACAGGGACCACGTGTACCGTAATATTTATTTCGTGTACGGTAGGTAGTGCTTTTTGAATTCGCCGCGGATGTACTCGAGTACAGTGGCACATGGGTCGGGTCGGTGCGAATGGGGCTGGATACGGTAGGAGTATTATATGATTTGTTGTATTGTACGGTAGACTACCACCAGTTCGAGATTCTCCTCTCCTCTCCTCTCCTCTCCTCTCCTCTCCTTACCGCGCCGGTGATGGACTTGTACTCGTACGTGTAGTACTGTACTCGTGCTTGAATGGCACAGTACCGGTATGGTATTATATCATCTGGCTCGTCCCTATCAGTGGACGATAAATTAAAGGGATGCTGTACGGTACGGTACTAACTTGGTACCCTCCTCACCGATAGTCTCGATACCAGACTGGCCCAGTAGTGAAAAGAAAAAAAGATATGCGCACAAAAATATCACCCCCATCACTTCCGATCGAAGGAAATATGTAAGGGGGGTTTTTTCTTCAACCTTGCTTTGCCTTACCAATTAGCTTTATAACTATCATATCGCAGCCTCGCTTCTGGAGCACTATCTATCTATCGCTCTATCGCTGGCCCGCTGCGCCGTACCGTGCGATGGATTACCTACCAAGTCTATCTCACGGCGCCTATATATATAACTTGTTTGCTCGCTTTTTGGTGGTATCGTAGTTGGGTATTGTGTTTGACTGCCACACACACGCCAAGGTTAATGGATGGAACCTCCCGTACTGTACTAGTAGGGTAAAGATAATACTTCAACCCTACCTGGCCAAAAGCAGGCAAACGAGTTGCTCGAGTAACGCCCGGCATAGAAGTGGCAGCACCTAGGCTAATACTCGAGTACTCGTACATGGATCCTGAGCACGAGCTTCCGTAGGACAAGCGCCTAATTCAGCCATTTCGTTCCCTATCCGGTAGACGCCCCTTCGCTTCCCTGTCACAAGTGTGGATATGGATGGGGTGGGGTGGGGACTAGGGTAGGATGGTTAGCTGGGATTGGGTAAAGTGCCGTTCAACAGACTTGTAGAGAACTATAAGGGAATTAATGGTATCTTTAAAAGTAAGTTACAGTAGAATGGCAGCAGTAATAATAATAAAAGAGTGTAAGGAGGAAAAAGCAAACGAGGAAAAAAGAGGTACACAAGGTCAGAAAAGGAGGATAGGTACAGTGCAAAGCGATATGAATGGATGGATAGGATGGATGGAACGGTAGTTGACAGCTACCGCCAGTCTTTTTTTTTTCTTCTTCTTTTCTTTTTTTCCCCATGGCAAACACCGTCAACAACTAACTTCCCGGATCAATCCCAGCCTCCCAATGCGATTCACAAACAGATTTCACGAAAACCCCACGGCCTGGGCCGGGAAAAGGGACCCCACGGGTGTGACAAAAATCCACGATGCATGAGCCTTTCATTCCGCGTCGTCTCGTGCTCATACAATTGAATCGTCGGTAGCTGGAGCAGTTTAGTTGTAGAACCCTATCCGCAGTGTCGCATTAGCCACCGTTTCATCCCTAGCAGCCGGAAGAAGAAGAAAAAAAACACCGATGCACGGTGATAACTAGGAAGGGGCAAAACAAACAGTACTCGGTGGCATAGTCTATCTCGAAATGCTTCTCCTGTCCCTTGCAATTTGGGGGCGCCTTTCCCCCAGCAGTATGCACCCTATACGCCAATTTCGAATCCACAGCCCTCTCATCCGCCGTCAGCCTCACCCAGTCCACCGCTCCGTATTGCTGTCCCGGCGAGCCCTTGCTTGCGTACGCCGTCGCCGGCACGCCAGCATCCCTCTTCCCGCTAAAGTACCTCTTGACGTCCGGAGTGATGCGAAAGTCGAATACGGGGGTGCTAAAGTCCGGGGTGAAGAAGTGATGGCCCACCACAACCTTCTCCTTCGAGAGGCGCTGGAAGACGGCGGTCAAGTAGTATTGCACCGAAGATTGGAGTTGCACCAGGACGTCCGGGAGTTCGTGGAGTAGGGAGGGGTGGTTCACGGCTAGGCAGGAGACATCGTAAAGGATCGCTTCGGCGCCTTGGGGCACAGGTGTGGAATTTTCGGTATTATCGGCGCAGGTGTAGTTCTGTGTGCCCCGGCCCAGGACCACGTTTGTCAGTGACAGGCCCGGTTCTGGATCCGGGAGAAGGGTTGGTCCTGCACCAACCGATAAAACAATCATTAGCCCTTTTATTTCCACGAACCGAGTCCAGGGATGGGGAGGGGGGGGGGATTATAGCAACCATCTGATTTCGGTAACGTCGCCTTGCTAAGATCACATCCAGTCAATTGGAGTCCACCGAAATCACGCTTCTCCAGCAGGTCCATCAGGTCCGCCAATTGCGGGTTCGAGGGAATCGCGCTGGCATGAGCGAGCATGAGCAGTCCAGAGACCGTCGCTAGGATTGTGAGCTTCATGTTATGATATTCTTTGGTTTAGTTGTCGTGAATAAAAAATTAATGGGTAGTAAAATAGTATAGACAGAAGAGAAAGAGATATATAAAACAG